TGTGTGTGTGTGTGTGTGTGTGTGTCAAAGCTCTCAAATTGTTAGTTAGAATAGACCATATATTACATCTGTGGATTAATAATTTTCCACAGTCTTCTGTAAATGTTTTCCTCTTTGCCGATAAGACATCCATACTGGCCAGCTAGACAGTAAGAACTAACAGATGAAGTCTGTGTTCCAAACTGGAAGCCAGCCTCGCCTGAGCGCTTCTGTTTCCTTTGGAAGAACTTAGGGTTTTGGTTGTAAACCTTGGCCTCTGTAGTTACTTAGTCCCATGTGAACCCGAGTGCACTTGGTTTTGTCTTCGCCAGAGCGATGCTCCATTTCTGTGCTCTTGAATGGTCAGGTGTAAAGACTCACTGGGTTGTTCTTCAGGAAATACACCGTGCGCCCCTGGGGCTTGTGCAGTTCACAGGCGAGGGTGTCTGCCCATTTCCCCTTCAAACAGCACTGAGACTCCATGTGAACTCCCATCATCTCTGTCTTTCTGCCCTTCCAGGAACAACATTCCGTGGGCCTTCCCAGGACCACAGGCGCCTTGCAGTCGTCGGTGCCACCAGGCTCGGGTGGCATGGTCTCCGGAGCCAGTCCCGTGGGCCCCGGCTTCCTGGGCAGCCAGCCCCAGGCCGCCATCATGAAGCAGATGCTCATGGATCAGCGGGCCCAGCTGATGGAGCAGCAGAAGCAGCAGTTCCTGCGGGAGCAAAGGCAGCAGCAGCAGCAGCAGCAGCAGCAGATTCTGGCCGAGCAGGTAACATGCACCCGTGGAGTGACGCGTTTGTTCAGCAAGCATTCATTCAGTGCCTGCCTGGGGAAGCAGTCCCAGTGTTCTTCATCAAGATGCTGGCAGTCTAGCATTGCCCAGGATCGTCAGAGAGCCTTCAAAATATAGCCCTTTCCATTCATTAAGTTTTTTGCTCTAATAAATTGGTTTGTTCTTAGGAGAGGCGCCAATCATCAGTTTCAAGTCCCCTTTGCTAGAGACCTTTTGTTTAAAAAAAAAAAGAATAAATAAAATTCAAGCCTGACTTTTCTTCTAGTGTCTGGTACAAGGATCAGTGTAACCAGCATGGGGCGAGGGGAGGAGGGGGAAGCAGGTAACCAGCATGGGGGGAGGGGAGGAGGGGGAAGCAGAGGTTAAGGGGGGGCTGGCTCATATTCTTCATAAGCCCCTATATTTCTAGCATGAACAAAAAAGATAATTCAGAGAACTTTGTTTCTTGGAAGGAAGTGGTAGGAGGAGACTTTGGGGAGGATTCTATAGAATTGATCATGAACAATAGAAAGTGAACAATAGCAGAACAATGGGGCCCTCTGAACTACCTGCAAACTTGAACTAGGGGTCACAGAAAGGGTACAAACTTAAGAAAATTCCTGTCAGCTTTTACAACAGCTCAGGAAATCTCTGAGTTAAAGGAAGGCCTAACTTAACACAAATAAAGCCTTACCTCAGGCATCTTTGTCCACCCTTGTCATGTAATTCTTCTGGCTTTGAAAGAAAGCCTTCCCTGTGGACTGTTCCTTTAGGTTTCAATTTGTTTTGTTTTTAGAGACACCGGTGCTTGATTTAGTGTTATCCCGAGGAAAGTCTCCAGGCCTCCTACAAGCAATCCCTGGATGGTTCCTGTGGGGCCAGGGCACCTCACAGGCTTTCATTATAGGAGATGGGAGGATGTTGTGTAAGGCTTACAGCCCCAGTGACCCTTCTAGAATATTCCTTATGAGATCAGAATTTTGTAAATGTAGCAAGCATCTACACAGATACAAGATACTGTGTAGAGCACAGGCATATTACCGTCTTCACTAACCAAAAGCTGTGTTTCAAAGCAACACCAGTCATTTTACAAACAGAAAAATTGCACCATTGAACACAATTCAGTTATGTTTCTTTCTTTCTTTCTTTTTTTTTTTTGCTTTTGTTCCTGAACAGCTGTGTAATTATCTCCCTTTTTACCAAGGTCAGTCAGCCGCCTGGCAGCTATTGTACAAACAACCCTCTATCCTTCTCACCCTGCATAAGGTGTGTGACAAGGAGCCATGCTAATATCTCTCAGGCGGTGATAAATGGAGCTGATGGGAGAAGCTAGGCTTTGTAAATCCTCTCCTCAGCCCATCCTAGGGAATTTTAGGTGTGCCTGAAAGGTTGACTGATGACTTTTGATACATGTACTGTGGACAAGGTATAAAAGGGGCTTAGGGTGATCTGCAGGACTCAGTTATGCCAGCCCAGGGGTGTTCTCCCTCACAGAGATCAGCCAGACTCGGGAATAAAGGAGAGAGATGAGAAGTGTGTGAGAAGAGATTCATCCAAACAGTAGGACTGGAATGCTGGAGGTGGGGGAATTCTAATCCAGGAAACGAGGAGATACAGCATTGTGTCATGCTGGGAGAAGTAGAGGGTCAGAGAACAAGACAGATGGACACAATGGCTGTAATAGTAAGCTTGAGGATGGCACCAGAAAGAGCACATGGTATGGATCTGTAGCTTATCGGGTGCTATGAATTGTAGTTGACTCAATGGCACCTAATAACAACCACTGTGGAGAAGATGAGAAGATATGACCTGAGTAAAATATCTTACTGTGTGCATCAAGAGATAATGACAGATCAGGGAAAGATGTGTGTGGGAATTCGTGGGAAATTCTACCCCGGACAAATGTGTGCTAGGACCCTAGTGCTGATAAGACCTGCAGCCACATAAATTAGCCATCATTTGGGACTAGACTGGAAGTAAAGCAGAGAGACTGTATTTGCAAAGCTTCAAGCCAATGTAGTGTCTTACCTGCATCTGGACCGAAAGTGCTCATTTATGCTGGCTCTTGTGGGCTCTGCATCCCTTGGTGGTGGTTGTTAGGTGTCCTCTCATCAGAGCAGACTCACAGCTGACCCTCTAGGGGATTTTCAGAGGCTATAAATTATGTGGGAGGGGATTGCCCATTTTTCTCCAGCAGAGCAGCTGGTGAATTTAAATAGCATGCTTTGGATGCCCACATAGTGTGTGGTTAGTGTGTAGTTGGCTGCTGACAAAAAGGTTAGAGATTGATTTGATCCACCCAGAGACACCTCAGAAGAAAGGCCTGGTGATCTGTGTATGAAAATCCAGCCAGTGAAAACTCTGTGGAGCATAGTTTTACATATAGGATCAACATGAGTCAGAATAGACTCAAAGGCTATTTGTTATTACAGGGGCATCTGGTGGCCCAGTGGTAAGAAGCTGCACTACAATCCTAAAGGCACACAGTTTGACTCCACTGGTTGCTCCATGGGAGAAGAATAAAGCAGTCTCCTCCCTTGAGATTAATTGCCTTGGAAAACCCACCGGAGAGTCAGCTGTGGGGTGGTTTCAGTTTGATGGTTTACAACAGCAGCAACCAGAAGTAGACATTCAGTTCTTGCGTATCCCACACAAATGTCCTTGGTCTCTACAGGATTGAATGTGTCCTAATTTACTAATATTGGAAACACTGAATTTCAAACTACTCAGGTTTCCTGAGGGAAACTGGAGCATTGGGGATCCTGGATATCTTGAGTATTTTAAAATGATTCTCAGTTGTGGAAATCAGGGCAGGGCAAGTTGAAAGTGGGCCTGAATTAACATTTAATGCCTTATTCCCCAAGAGTTCAGAGCATGTCACCTCTTAGCCAGTACCTAAGTTCAACAGAACTTGGAGTTTTAGATCTGATTATGTATATGAAGAAACCGTTTATTTGATTTCCCCAAGACCTCAGGGCTAGAGAGGCAGGGTCAGAACTGAGACCTGGGCTCCCTGGCTCCCCAATTCCTGCCTGGACACACCCCAACCCACCTGAGGCTCCTTTGAGGCATTTCCCATTGTGAGTAGGGCAATTAATTTTCGTACTTAATAAGGGAAGTTGGCTGAGGAGAGGCTTTCCAATATTCAGCTTACTCTCAATAATGCCTTTATTGCTGCCTAAAAGATTAGCATGGTTTGTCTACACTTTAATGTAATTAATTAATCAGTTGCAACAGTTTTGTGCCTTGTTATGGGGGAGGGGGACGGAAGGAGCTGGGAGGAAGAAAATTACAGAGCTGCCCAGGACCAAAATCAACAGAAGAAATAGAAATAAACACATGCGTTCAGAAGTGGTCAGCGTGTGTTATTTTTGTAATGAACACGCTAAAGAGCAGCGACCTTGTTGTATGTTCTTTGGAGCACTTGCAGATGAAAGGTGCTTAATGAATATTCAGCAGGCACAGCAAGGAGGTTAAATGACACGCGGAAGGTCACGCAGCTCCTTGATAGCAGACCTAGAACTAAAAGCCCCTTTCCTCTGCTCTTCCACCCCACTCCTGTACTCCCTCCCTTTCCACAGGCGGCATGATAATGATCATAATAGCTTCCTCAGTATATTGTTAACAGCAATAGCAGTGCAGAATCCCCGTGAGTGGAAGGAGAAAGACTAAAACGCAGCCCCCCTTGCTCCTGGTGTATGCAGAATCCCACGCGTTTTCCTCAAGGCACTAAAATGCTGTATGTTTTGCTTGTAGAGCTGTGTTTTACTGGCAGTGGGGCCTCATGGGAATAAGATTAGCCTTTTTTACAGCCCTAGAAAATCCCATCTTCCTCCGCCTGAAGCATCTATTTAGGTCATTAACAATTAGTTGTTTTTCCCTTTGAGCCAGGTCCCCACAATGCTAAGGATAGTGTGCAGACCTCCCTCTCTCCGCCAGCATTCCTTAGGCTGCACTCACTGCAGGTACATGTTGGCAAGGAAGGCAGTAGTCATGACGGTCCCAAACCAGAAGCACACTGAGTCATCAGTAGAATGGCTAAATACATTGTCTTCTATTCATATGAGGGGATGTAGTTCAACAGTGAGAAAGAACAAGGCACAATGTGATGCCTTAGTGCAGATGAACTTCACAAAGACAACCATGAGCACAAGAAGCGAGACGTGAAACACATTCTTTCCATGTAACCAAGAATCTCAGTGGGATGGATTGACATGGGCTCAGGTAGAGAAGAGATGATGAGGATGGCTCAGGATAGGACAGCCTTCCAATTTGTTGTTCGACAGCAACTAACAACAATGGCAGTCTGTCGTTGCGAATGGGTGCCTCTGATTTGATTTTATCCTTGGTAGTGCCCCCCCCCCATGACAGGGAGTATTGCCCATTGGATTCCTGGGCTGCCAGCTGTCAACTCTTTATCTTGAAGAGCCACTCTGTGGGTTCAAACTGCCTATCTTTCAGTTAGTAGCTAACCACTTAGCTGTATTGTCACCAGAGCTCCTTATGCTAATCTGTGCTGTTAAAATTCAGTACAGTGATTGCCCTGAGTCAGTACGAGGGCACTGACTAGAAATAGACGTGAGGGGTTTCCTAAAACGTCCTTTTTCTTGATCTGGGTATTGGAGTATGTTCATTTTGTGACAATCCACCACACCATACATTTAGGATTTGTACATTTATCTCTGTGCATGTTAGTCCTTAATAAAATGTTCACTTAAAAGAAAAAAGCCAACATTGTCTTCCTGAGACCTGTCAGGATATTTAACTTCATGTTCTCTCTCTTCCCCTCGCTTCCTCCCGTCCTGTGCTCTGTCGCCCCAGCAGTTGCAGCAGTCACACTTACCTCGGCAGCACCTCCAGCAGCAGCGGAACCCATACCCAGTGCAGCAGGTCAATCAGTTTCAAGGTGAGGCCAAAACACACCTCTTCCGTTTTATACTTTCCCATTTAAAGTCTTAAGTGTATATACCCCCTGACACTGCCTTCTGCTCCCCTGTTTATGCCCAGGTAATGCCTAATAACTCATGGGGTAAGGACACCACTCAAAGGGAGTGTATTCCTGGAGGCCTCATCCTGGGGAGGCATTAACCTGTTGGTTTCTGGATCATAAGAATCATAGGGAGATCCAGGGGGCCTTGATGAGAGGTTGGGGTAGCTGTGAGGGATGGAATGATCAGGAACTGGGATGCTGTTCTTTTCCTATGTTACAAAAATATTTGAATAGTTTAACACCCAATAAGCACAGACTGGTACCTTGGGTTCAGATTCATGAGGTCTAGAATCACATGGCTCCAATCTACCAGCTGCTCTGCGGGAGAAAGATGAGCAGTCTCCTCCAATGTGATTAACTGCATCTGAAAACCTGCCAGAGGGTCAGTACAGGTACACAACAAAAACAACAATAGATCATTGTCTTCATGACCCACAGAGGGGAACTCGTTCTTGCTAATCTCATCATGTGTTGAAGGAAGTGCAGCCAGGGTGCTCCTTGGAGGCAAGAATGCTGAAACTTGGTCTAACATACTTTAGGCATGCTGTGAGGAGAGGCCAGCCCTTTGGAGAAGGCATCAAGCTGAAAACAGTAGGGTATCAACAAAGGAGATGAAACCCTTAATGTGATAGACTGACAGTGACTCTAACAGTGGGCTCAAGCATATTAGAGATCACGAGGATGGCACAGGAGAGAGCAGGGTTCAGATCTCTTCTTCACAGAGGCATCATGAATTGTAGCTTCATCAACAGCAACATCAGTATCATCATCAGGTCAACTGACCAAAGCCTCCCATCTAGCAGCCAAAGTAGAGGAATCTGGCTTGCTGATCTCCACTAGATGTAGAAGGCAAAGAGGACCTTGAGGCTGATTTCACTGTCATGACCCTCCTCGCATTTTGGGAAACCTGAATCATGGCCACAGTAGCAGTGAGTGTGCTGGCCCTTGGAAACGTGAAGGATCCGCTCCAACCTCAGACCCTCCCCTCTCCAATGGAGGAGCCCTGGAGGGTCTTGTGAGAGGCAGAAGATGGACAGAGGGCCCTTCCAAATCCCATCCACAGTGGTTTTCAACCTTGGTGCTGCAGTGCTGAAGCACTTGCCTGCTAACCTAAAGACTGAGAGTTTTTACCTATCAGCCGCTCTGTAGGAGAAATAATGTGGTGATCCGCTCTTGTAAAAAGAATTTTCTTTTTTACTTTGCATTTTTAAAATTTTTTAATTTTATGTTGGTTTGCCTACAAAGTTAATATGTTGTGTTTCACACTATCCTTCATTCACATTGTAATTCATACAATCATTCCTATTTATTATATTTTATAAAATGAATCACCGTTGAACAACTATGCCATCATTACCCTGTCTTTCCAGATTTTTTATTTATAAAAAGGTTAAAAAAAAACCCCAACAAACCCAACTATGTCCTTAAGTTGATGTTGCCCCATAGAGACTTTATAAAACTGAGAATTGTCTCATTGTGTTTCCAAGACTGTGAATCTTTGTGGAAGCAGAATTCCTCATCTTTCTCTTGTCCATAAAGAATATCGCCTAGGAAAATGAATGGTTTCTATTCTGTCACATGAGATTGTTGTCAACTCAACAGAAAATAACATGTAACAGAAATTCTCATTTCCATACTATAGCCCTTTTTTTAGACCTAGAGCAATGTGTCTAAATTACTTGAGTGTGAAAGCTATGAAGCCGCTTCTACAGAAACATGTGTATATGCAAATAAATACAGTTCATTTATCATGTTACAAAGGTCACAGACCTTCCTGAACTATATTAGTATACTGACTGAGTGAAAAAAATTTCTGATACAGATTGAAATAACAAACAAACAAAAAAACAGACAACAAACCCTCAAATTTACTGGCGTTAAGTTGATTCTGATTCATAGAAACCCTCTATCTGGCTTGCAAGGTTGTAAATCCTAATGGGAGAAGGCTGCCCATCTTTCTACCGCAGTGGATTTGAACCACCAAAGAAAGTTCGCCTTTGGATTAGCAGCGCAACTCTCTACAGACTACACCAGCAAAAGTGTATACACAAAGAATATACATTCAATTCATTGCTGTCAAATTGGAACCAACTCCTTGCTCACCCTCTAGTAGTTTTTCAGAGGCTGTAAATCATGGGAGGAGATTACTCATTTTTCTCCTGTGGAGCAGCTTATAGATTTAAACCACCCACCTTTGGGTTGGCAGCACAGTTCTCTATCTAGGGCTACTAAAGCTCCCTTTATAGCTGCAATGCTGTTGGCGTTGCTGTGTACTGTAAAGTTAGCACCAACCCATAGCTGACACTGCAGCAGGTTTTCAGAGGCAGTTAACCAAGAGAGGAGATAGCCTGTCCTCCTGCAGAGCAGCTGGAGGATTCAAACTGTGTACCTTTGTGTTGACAGCACAATTCCTTACCACTAAGCCCCCGGAGCTCCCTATAGCATTATTGTTGTTGTGTGCCATGAAATTGGTGCTGACTCTCCAGCAGATTTTCAGAGGCAGTAAACCACATGGGAGGAAAGTGCCCTTCCTTCTCCCAAGGAGCAACTGGTGGATTTGAAATTTGTGTCTTTGGGGTAGCAGTGCAGCTTCTTACTTCTAGGCCAAAACAATTTTTAATGGATCACAACCAACATTTTTTTTTAGGTGAAACTCAATAGAAAAATATTATCCAATTGTAAAATAGCAGTCTCTTTCTATTCTGCTGTAAATGCACTGCATATATTGGATGACCCTGTAGAATATATTTTGTGTTGTGGTTTGTGGTTAAAGTACTGTGACCACACTACAGTGCCTGCGAGCAGCTGGAGTTGAGTCACTACACTCCCATCTAGTCTGTGGAGGGATGCAGTTCACTTCATATCGCTATAGATGCCTTTGGATTAGACACAAGGAAGGACAAAAGAAGGTGAACTGTCCTCAGGTGTTCTGTGCACTAAATCTGTGCTGCTACTCTTTGTAGAATTGTTTCTCATTTTGACAGGATGAAGGAGAGTAGGAAATTGTAATTACTACAGATACACTGCCCTCTGTGTATCTCCATAGTTCTCAAACTTTAGCCTACATCAGGATAACCTGTGTAGCTTCTTAAAACACAGATGTCTAGGTCTCTTCCTCAGCGATTTTCTAATTGAGTGAGGCTGTCACTGGGCCTGAGAATTCCCATTTCTGATAAGCTGCCAGAGGTAGCTGTTTGGGGACCACACTTCAGAAACATAAAATCTAACAGACCAGGCATTGCATCCTTCTAGGTTTCTAGGTTCATACCTCATTTTCTTATCTTTTTGAATAAAGGGATCAACCAAAATGTAAACATTTTCTGCTTTATAGAACATAGACTTATTGTTTTGTATATGCTATTCAGAATACTTTTGATCCAGTGTAAAAGTTTTACTCTCTGAACTTTTTAAAAACTTCAAATCACAAGTAATTAACCTAAAAAAATTAGCTATATCCAAGTTTTACCCATGATCAAGAATTTTAAATATACTTTTTTTTCTACCGTCAATATTCTCATTTATTTTACTGATATCATGATAATATACATCTGGGAAAATAGCAAATTAGTAGGTAAAAAATATCCTTGGAGAGCGGTTCTGTCCGGAATAACTTGCACGCTATTCCTCTCACCACACACTGTCCTCTTACCACTACACGTTTCAAAGGGCTTAATAACTGTCTTTCCCTCTTTGAGTTCTGTGCCTCTGGCAATGTTACATGCCTATGGGGAAATACTTATTTTCCATAAATATGGTCTTCTTGTGAGTAAAAATAGAACACATACCCTTCTAGGAAAAAATTGCACATTATCATTTCTATTTGAATATGGAAAATTTTCTTGACATTGTGGTATTAGCAAGCAGACAAGAAAAATTAATTTGGCTGTGGTGTCTCACAGTAATACCTGTTTTAGAAGCAAGAAGGAAGAAGCAATAGGATTCTCTTGTTAAACATATGGGTGGTAATCAGATAAATGTTGAAGTGAATGCATTTGAATGGGTTTTTTTTATAGATTTAAAATTATGGAAGATATGAAGCTAGGTTAATAAAAGTTATTTTGACTTGTTTCTTAAGTCAAAATAAATTGCTGATTCTTAGAATACTTCTTTTTCATAACAATTACGTGTAGATAGTGTAATCATTTACACGAAGTGAAGATAAAGGTTGACTTGGCTTGATGTTTTAACGCTTGCTAAAGGGCACTGCAGCATCTCTGTCCTCTGAAGAAAGGATTCTATTTCTCATTCACAAAATTGGTCTAGATGATATCCAGTCTCCTGCTTCAATATCCCTTATAAGCCCACAACAAAAGTGTCTAGAAGATGAAAGGTCTTTCATCTATTTCCAGCAGCTTGTTTATATAACGTGAGTCTATCCTATCAATCTCTGAGTCAGCAATATTTTCCTTTTCTTATATATAAACAACTCAATAACCCATTTCACCTCAGTCAATCAGATTGGCCATGCAGTCGATATAAATTTAGTTAGGAAGGTCACAGAAGCTCACAACAGGATTGTGTGTTGCTGTATATACTACCACCCAATGTTTAATGAGGAATTTTTCATTATTTTTATTTATTTATTTATTTTTTTTTTAGAAATTCACTTCCCTATGAGTAAATTGAAGACAAACTACAGAGACTTTTTAGGGGTTCTTCCTTGACCTTGCAGGCTTCCCCACAGAACTGTTTTCTTTTTTTCAGTGCGGCTTGATATTGATCTCAAGCCATAAAAACTTAAGTCATAATCAAAATTCCTGTAATTTTCTTTCTTAAAGAAAGAAAGAAATTATGGAGACATATTTGCTGCCCAGAAATCAATAACCCTATCAGGAAGACAAAAACACACTTCAGTTATCTGCCCAGGTGCCAGGCTTAACGAGGTTAGACGGCTCTCATCGGGTTTCTCCTCACAGTTCCAAGGTGGGATAAAATTTGCTTATAATATCGATTGTTGCATCTTCTCTACATGTCCAGGAAAAACTATCTTTGTTTTTCTCATAGACTTAATCATCAGTTGGTACATAGAAAAATCCATCTGTATGCACCTCCCAGGCCTTTATAACATTGATTGGTATTCTGAGGGGTGACATTTTCATTCTCTTAGCTAGTTTGGAAATTTCCTGAAACCTTGTAAAAGAAGAACTCACTCAAATATCTTACTAGGATGGAATGACTTGGCATTAATACTTTTCCCCGCTCTTAGACAGCATCATTAAAACTGTGTTAGTGATCTGCTGAGAGAAGCCATCGTTACTGATCCGAAGGAGTGGACTTTGCTGGAGACTTGCCCCTGGTTAGTTGCCAGTTAGCACACAGCAGGATGATTCTTTCCCAAGCTCAGGAAGCTGGCCAGTTTGCACTGACATGTTAGGAAGCAGAGAATCTGGAGCATGTGCAAGTCTACAGAGTGGGTCCAAAAATTTCCCATCTGTCGAAATGCTTCTTAGCAGAAGCAACGGCCTTTACCCTCTCAAATCCTACGCAAATCTTAAGGGAAATTAGTCTAATGGCTTTTATTGATAGTATTCTCTACTGAACCATGTTCCATTTCACAAATAGAATATGCAGAGTGATCAGCCGTTTCTTCCTAAATTAGCCCGGGAGGTGAATTACCTCTCACCTCTAAGGAAAATGGTATTAGTTGAGCATGATTTCATATTCAGAAGAGTAAGAGACAAATTGTTTCTTGAAATGATAACTAAAACATTATTACTAGAAAATAGTAAGTGGCAAAATAACTATAGAAGATGTGTACGGTATGGTTCCAATTTTTGTGTATATTGATTTATATATAAATAAAAGCTTTGCAGGGATCGTCTTTGGATGCTAGGAACTCGGGTGATTTTCATTTTCATCTCTATGCTTGTCGATATTGTCCACAGTCCACATCTATTATAATCATAAAACTAGTTACCACTTTTGAAAAGCCGAGTCCACTACTGTTGTTGGTTTGGGCGCACAGCAACCCTGCAGGACAGAGTAGATGAACTACCTCTCAAGGTTCCAAGACTATAAATCTGTCAAAGCAGGCCACCACATCTTTCTACTTCAGAGTGACTGGTAGGCTTGAACTACTGACCTTTGGGTTAACAGCCAGGTGCGTAACCACTGCACTACAAGAATTCCTGCTGCTGCTGTTAGGTGCCATCAAGTCAGAACCCCAAACTCATTGCTAGTGGATTTTCAGAGACTGCAAATCTCATGGGAAGAGATTGTCTCCCCCACAGAACAACTGGTAGATTCCAACCACATGCCTTTCAGTTGACAGTGTTGTGCTGCAGTCCCAAAGGCACGTGGTTCGAGGCCACTGGCTGCTCTGTGGGAAAAGGGTGGACAGTCTGTTACCATGTGCTTTACTGCCTCTGAAGACCCACCGGAGGGTCGGCTATAGTTCACTTCCGACTGTACAGTACACAACAACAGCAGGCCACCAAAGCTCTCTTAGAATAATAGTACTTACTATTCTAGACGTATCATTAAGAGTAGAGCTTTCACAAAGGAATTTCATGTAAGTTCGAACAACTTGTTGCAGAGTGACTTCCTGAGAAGACTGAGCACTGTGTTCTCTCCTCCCCGCAGGCTCTCCCCAGGATCTAGCAGCCGTGAGGAGCCAGGCAGCGCTCCAGAGCATGCGGACGTCACGGCTGATGGCCCAGAATGCAGGCATGATGGGAATGGGACCCTCTCCGAACCCAGGGACAATGGCCACAGCAGCAGCCCAGTCAGAAATGGGCCTGGCCCCATACAGCACCGCACCTACCAGCCAGCCCGGGATGTACAGTATGAGCACAGGCATGACCCAAATGTTGCAGCACCCAAACCAAAGCGGCATGAGCATCACACATAGCCAAGGCCAGGGGCCGCGGCAGCCTGCCTCCGGGCAGGGCGTCGGAATGGTGGGTGGTTTTGGTCAGAGCATGCTGGTGAACTCGGGCATTACCCAGCAGCACCAGCAGATGAAAGGGCCTGTGGGCCAGGCCTTGACAAGGCCGCAGGCCCCTCCACGGCTTCAGAGCATTATGGGAACAGTCCAGCAGGGAGCACAGAGCTGGCAACAGAGGAGCTTGCCACCGATGCCTGGGAGGACTAGTGGAGAACTCGGACCCTTCAACAATGGCGCCAACTACCCACTTCAAGCTGGACAGCCAAGACTAGCCAAGCAACATTTCCCACAGGGACTGGGCCAGTCGGTTGTGGACACCAGCACTGGCACAGTGAGAACCCTCAATCCAGCCGTCATGGGACGGCAGATGATGCCGTCACTCCCGGGACAGCAGGGCACCAGCCAGGCCAGGCCCATGGTCATGTCTGGCCTGAGCCAAGGGGTCCCTGGCATGCCAGGCTTCAGCCAGCCCCCATCTCAGCAGCAGATGAGCAGCAGCAGCTTTGCTCCAAGTACGCAGAGCCAAGCCTATGATCGGAACCCCCCTCAAGACATGCCCTACAGTTACAGTGGTGACGGAGCTGGGCCTGCCTTCCCTGGCCTCCCCGACAGTGCGGACCTTGTAGACTCCATAATCAAAAGCGGTCCTGGGGATGAATGGATGCAGGAGCTTGACGAGTTGTTTGGAAACCCCTAGGCAGGGCAGGGGGCACCCTTGAGCCAGGACTCTAGTGGTTCCAGTTTTACCAAGGGAATAAGAAACAGGAGGTTGACTCATCCTTGTTTTTCTTGCTTTTTTTAATCCACGGAAACTGAGCAAAACTGCAAGTGGTTGACTGGGAAGATCCAGCTGGCAATGTACAGCCCCTGTGGTATTCACACCATGGTCAAGCCACTATGCAGACCTCCGCTGTGGGACAGAAAAGCAATCAGAGAGCAGATGAGGAACCAGCCCAGCTCCTCTGCTCTGCCCCTTTCCCCCTACCCCCACGCCCCGGAGGCATCTGGCCAAAAAAATGCTGCTCAAACCAAGAGAGACTGCTGTTCCTGGTGAGGTACCCCACCACCCCTCCTGCCCAGATCCAGGTTGGGGCTGCAGTTTTAGAGACAAAAAGAGCCTTGGACCAGGGAGAAACCCCACAGAAGCTGCTGAGTGGCTACACAGGCCAAGCACCCAGGTCAGAAATACTCTGAACTCTGGGCAGAACAAGATGTGAGGCTTCGAGCCAGGCTACTGTATTTTGGGAGTGGAGAGGAACAGTAATAGCATTACATGGAGAAGAGAAAGGATTCTATTGGCTATCTGGCTCCTGTCCCAAGATGACCTTCAGGAGTTTTAGAGGAGTTGCTGTCAGACGCCTCATGAAGACAGCCAACTAAGCTTGGAGGAGTGTCCATCCACGGTCCTGAGGGGCAGCTCTCTGATGGTGGCAACCTGTGGCTGTCACTATGGATAGATAGACGGAGGCCACTGCGGGGCTGGTACAGTAAAATGGACAGATCTGGACTGTGCACCTGCAGGGTGGAGAGACCACTGCTGGCCCTGCCCTGTTCTCCATACCTCGACCCTGGCCTGCCCATGCTGCTCCTTACAGACTGTCCAATAAGTGGAGCCTTTGCCCGAGGAGCCTGGACTGAGTCCAAATAAGCAAAAAGAAGAATTTAGACAATGTCCAAATTGTAAAGGAGACACTGGAGTTTTCTTTTTCTAAAATGTGTGGAGTTGAATAATCTGCTCTGCCTAGAACTGAGAGGGCTGCTCTGAGAGGGGCTGGCTTTCTGGGAGCTGCTTCTGATCATCCACACATCTCTGAAGAGGGACAGCCGGGTGGTGGTCAGTCTGACTCCCTTTGGGAAATCCCAAGGTGAGCCTCTGAGAATGGCCTTTTGCTTACCACAGTCTACTCACAGGAAAGACAAATACAAAAGCCCTGAGTGAGATTTTAGGAGCTTAAAGAATAATCCACTGCTACACCGCATAAATTTGGATTGCAAAAGAGGGAGATACAGTTCCTGTGATAGGGTCAAAGTTGCCCACTTCAAAAGTCCTGTACAGTTGTCGTTCTCCATGTAAATCACTCAAATCTGCCCTAAGTGAAATCTGTTGGGAAGAAGCCCTGACGCCCTTTCCCTAAAGGCTTGTTTCTTTAGTTTGTGCCTCCCCTCCCACTGTCCCACGTGGCATAATTATTTTCCTAAGTGAGAGTAGTGTGTCCCCTGTCACCCCTCCCTCAGTGTCCTTAATGCTGATTCATTCCCTTCTGTGCAAGTCTCTGCCACCCCTCACGCCACAGACAGACAGTGGCCAGACTGACTTGTCCTGGAGGAAAGTGCTGAGCAGGAAAGATGCACAAGCCAGGCAGAGGGGGTGGAGAGGAGGCAAGAGGGCCAGCCTTGTCCTCAGCTTGCTCTCCACAGACCACAGTTCACATAATGCTCAGCAATGGGCAGGAAACAGGGCTGGAGGGGGGCCAGGTGACGAGAGCTGGACAGGGTGATGGTGACCTCTTCAGGTGGTGAGGGACATGACCATGAAAGCCCTGAGTGGAAGCAGATGAAAACCAAATAAATAAGTAAAAATGTAATAAATAAAAAATTTAAAGGTAAAACAAACAAGAGGACACAGAATACATAATTAACCTTTTTCTGAAAGGTACAGGAAGAACGTAGATAAGCAATGAGGAGAAACTGGAGGTGGCTGAAGGTGAAAGGGGGGGCTCCCATGATCTTTGACAAGCTTCCGCCAAAGGCTTAGTCCTGGGACCAACTAATAGAGAGGTAGATTTCAATAAGGTTGTTTTGTTTTGTTTTGTTTTGTTTTTACTACGGTGCTGATGTATATGTAATGTCTAAAAAAAAGGTTATTTGTAAATAAGTTTTTACAATACTGCAGATATCACTGGGTCTACTATCTGTAAAAAATATACATATAAATATATATATATATATATATACTGTTTGTTTAAAATAGAGTATTTTTATTTCATTCCTTCACTCATCATCACAGCAGCGGTATTGCACTTCCGACGACATCTAATTACTAATTTGTACTGTATGAGCTGACGGCAACTTGCTCCATTTTATTCAGATTTTTCTAGTTTTCTGTTTTTACTTTGTACATTGAGCATTGCTTATTTCCTTTTAAGAGATGTACAGAACTCTGATATGTAGAAATGAAGTGATGTTGGCATACCACTTTTAAAGGAAAAAAAAAGCAAATAAAAGATCATTATCTGAATCAATCCAAAGCATAGGATCTTCACTGGGTCTCAAGCCTTAATTCAGCCGCTATGTCACTCCTGGATCCTATGGAGTAAGTGCAGTTCTCTTTCTCAAGATTCTGGTATCACTATTAAGCATTTATTTGACATTTACTGTGTGCCATCAAATTGGAACTGGCTCAAAGCTGACTCTCCCATGAGCACAAGAGGAGATTATCTGTCTTCTTCCTGAGGAACAGCTGGTAGATTCGAACCACATGCTCTTGAGGTGTGAGCACAGCTCCTTACCAACCAGGCCACAGCAGGCATCTGTCATTCCTAGCCTTGTAAATACAATCACACAAATTTGCCACAGCACTCTGAGGAATATAGCAAAGGGAAGGGAGAGAAAGCAACATTGAAAAACCAAATACCCAAATCTGTGGCTGCGGACTTGACTCCAACTTGCCATGCTTGTGTTAGAGTAGAACTGAGCTTCCTACGGCTTCTTTGGGTGTGATCTTTACAGAAAGAGCCTTGGTGGTGTAGTCCCATACTTGTTGGGCTTCTAACTGAAAGGTAGCAAGTTTGAGTCCAGCGGCTGAGATTATAACCTCAGGACCCCAATGGTCACCATGAATTGGAACTGACTCCCCCACAGTGGGTTTGGGATTTTTGCTGGAATCTTTACAGAAACAAATCATCATCTTTCCTCAACAGCAATAAACCTTAATTCATAGAGAGCTCTAGTGGCCTAGTGGCAAGAAGCACTGCAATCCCAGAGGTGCACGGTTTGAATCCATCAGATGCTCTGCTGGAGAAGGAGGGACAGTCTTCTCCTGTACCAGTCAGATCTGATTTGATGGAACATGTGCACAAAAATAATAAAAATTTTAAAAGAATGGGGAAAAACCCTCTCAATTCATGGCCACTAATTTGATTCTGGCTCACAGCCTCCTTGAACAAACAAACAAACAAACCCATTTTAGAAGAAGTGCAACCAGGGTACTCCTTAGAGTCAAGGACAGTGAAACTTCATCTCGCGTACTTTGGGCATGGTGTCGGGATAGGCCAGTCCTTGGAAGAGGACGTCGTGCTGGGAAAGGTGGAGGATGAGGAACGAAGTAACAGGGAAACAGGCTTGGATCTGGTGGGGTTTGTGAGGATGGCACCGGATAGGGCAGGGTTTTGATCCATTGCTCACCAGGTCACTACGTGTCCTAGTAGCCTCAGAGGCACCTGACACCTAAGGCACCACTATAGGACAGAGCAGAGCTGCCCCGTAGGGTTTCCAAGCCTGTGGGCCTTTACAGAAACAGCCAGCCTCATCATTCACCTGTGAAGGAATGGATGGGCCAAACTGTTGACCTTTTTGGTTAGCAGCCCAGTGCTTTAACCATTTGCAGCACCAGTGGGTGGGTTTACACTGCCAGCCTTTATTAGTAGCCCAACACAAACTATTTGCACCACCCAGGGACTCATCTACACTTCTACAAAGGAGCATTCTTAAATCCAGGTGCAGGTTCCATACAATAAGTTTCATTTCCAGAAGCTTCATTTAGGTTTGGGGAAACTGGTATTTAAGTTTTTATGTAAAAAAAGGGGGGGGAGGGGAGAAATAAAAGAACATATTAGGAGGAATTCTTGAAAATGTGTGGCCCTGGATCAATGACATTTCATAAATTCCCTCTTACGGTCTGCACCTCTGACAGCCCACCTTGGACCTCTCTTGAGGGCTGTCCTTGGGTCACTGGCCACTTGTGCCTGCACCACCCACAGAGAGTTGAAATAACTCCAGTCCAACCTCCCTGTGACTCCCCAGTGAGATCTATGAAAGCCCAGCTCAGCCACCTGAATTAAACCCGAGGTGTCATTTCTACCCCAGCAGCATTAGGCAAAGGCGGGAATTCTGTCTAAAGTTGCCCCTTGCTTGGCTGCTTCCTCTTTGTCCTGTGTCTCCCACTCTTATTTCCATTTTCCCTCTAAGGACCCCTTTTTGCGATAAATTGCCTACATAGAAATCCACCTTTCAGTGTCTACTTCCAGGAAATGCGTCCTAGGATTTCCCCATCAAATTTAAAAGACAAAGTATAGTTTTAAAACTCTCTGGACTAAGCAGAAAAAATGTACCGCAAGAACCAAATAAAGTCACCAGCAAAAACAGACCCCAAACAAAGGTGAGTTTTATTATCTACAAACCAGGGGAAAAGAATGAGTTTGTGGAAGAAGTCACCGTACACATGACGGACTGTGGTTGCAGTGGGCAACTAATGCCATGGACAGAGTGAGGTAACACCAGACTTGGACCCCTGTGATAACAGGCTTAATACTCACCACCAGATAACTTGAGACAGAAAAATTTATTAAGAAGGAGGGGAAAAGAGTGGGAATACAAGTGAAAATAAGGAGAAGTATTGACTACTACTCATTCATTCACTCACTCATTGTTGTCAAGTCAGGGCTAAGCCATAGGTGACCCTCCAGCGGATCAGCAGGT